TCTTCTCTTCTTTCCTTTCTTTCTTTCTTTCTTTTTTCTTTCTTTCTTCTTTCTTCTCTTCTTCTTCTTTTCTATTCTTTCTTGATCTGCCCCTTCTCACTTTTGAACTAACTTTTTTACCCTTCATTTCACACCCGACGCAAGTGGCCCTGGACCTTGTGAACTGTGTGTTCTCCCAGGAAGCTCCTGTATGTGACCAGTTAAATTATCCTCAGGCGTGTTGCTAGGTTAAACAAAGGATGATGATGTAATATGATAATAATCCTTTTTAAAGGAAAAAAAAGAAACAGTAGGGACCATTTTCTTCTGATTTAAAAAGCTTGCTTTAACCATTGATGAGGTACGGGAAGTAGAAGTGTTCTGCTTACTTTAAGGTATCCTAAAGTTTATGGCCTTTTAAAGTCTTATTTGCTTTAGAGAACGTACGGCCTTAAGACAATTCAGTTGATGAGCCTGGCTTGAATATAAACTAATACTCCAAATTATTATGGCCTGTTTTGTGCAAATCAGAAACAAGTTGCCACTTGTTTGGTGATAATTGGTTTCCTGGTCCAACACTTCTGACAAGACCAAGACAAGAATTGGTTTGGATTTAAAAGAAGGTGGAAGGAGAAATGGGTCTTAACGGTCGGTTTCTTTGTTTTTTCGTGTTATAACTGAAAGAAAAGGGGATGCGTCCTTTCTGTTGGTTTACATACTTAAATGTAAATCACCAAGCCTTGAGGCCCCCACATGACCATTTGAGAATAATCATTTGTAATAATCCACATTACATTGTGTCATATCTATTGTTCCCTCTAAAAGAGACTCCGTTCCGCAGTAACACCTCGTTCGCACAACTTGGGCGGGACAGCGAATTTTATATCACTCCGTGTTGGTACTGGTACAGAGGATCAACGCAGGAGCTCTAGGTATGATCTAAAACAAAGAAAACGCAAGTTCACATAAGGTTAAGGGCACTGTTCAATGTGCACCTTAGAAGCGTGTGGTGGGTATGATATAGAGGTTGTTTGGTTGAGAACGTAAATATTAAAATTCGGTTTTACCAGATCTGTCCATTGTTAACAGTGTGATTTTAGGCAAAGGAACCGAGGCACCCAAGCTTTCATGCCAATGTCGGTAAACAAAGCATAGAAGAGAAGAGAGGTATGTAAGCGAGAAACCTCTGATTACACACTATGTTGACTCAGGTACGATGAGTTTTAGGAATCCAATAACGTAGTAAATATGCATCTCTGCCTTTGTATTGAGTTGTCGATTGTATTCCGTCTTTTTTTTCCTTTTACAGAGAACACAAGATTCAAGACGGAAGCTATGTTGCCAGTGAAGGTGATCACATGTATAAAAAAGAAACCCAGAAGAGGGTTTTCGTCTGGGACCAAGCCTTAAAGACCCTACCCGTCTCACCTGTAGACATGGGTTATGTATAGAGGAGGTTGGAAAGGATGATCGGAGAAAAGATAAAGGAAGATACACGCTAGGGGCCTTCAGTGCCAGGTAGACATATTGGAAACTGTTGCTGTTAAGGACGATCAGCCACCTGGCCCCAAGATGGAGGAGCAAGGGTTCCCTACGCGAAAGGACCTATCCGTTTCAACACTTGTGCTTTCATTTGCTCCCGTGGCTAGGCCCTCACACGTTGCAGTTTCCGCCAAGACCCAATGACTCTATTCACTTTCTTACCTATGTTAAAATCACTCAGCAGTAGTTTTGGAGAAGGGAGCGAGCATCTCGAAGTCTTCCATCGTGGGTTTTCAAATGCTCGCATCGATGTCCTAGTCACATGTATCCTCCACCACAAAGGTCCCATGCGGCATTATAACCACTCTCCCGTCTTCTGACTCCTATGAAATAGC